TTGATCCCCAGTACCAAACAAATAAACACAAAGAAAACAAACCTGTAGACTCAAGTGTCCAAAAATTTCACGAAAAGTTGCCTGTTGGGCAGTATTATAGAGTGGTGTCTTCTAAGATGCATCAACTCCTACACTTTAAAAATAATTTCTCCTATTACTTTTCTTTGACATGGATAATTACAACCAATTATTTTATTCTGAAAAGGATAAGTTTGTTTCCCCTATGCTGCATATTTAAAATCTTATTCATAGGCCCTTATAGAAAAAGAGACCTTCAAAACATCTAGTCCTTTATTTTCCTTTTTTCAGTGAGGAAAGTGAAGTCCAGAAAGTCTCCTATCTCTCAGTTCACCTTCTTTACTGTTAACTCCACTGTCAAAAAGCAGAACTAGTTAATGCTGGCAAAATGCCATAAATTAGTGCATTCCCTATTCCACCTGTCAGAACTTTCTACCACAACAGTATTGTGCAAAAAGATCATCAAAAGCATCAAAATTCCACAATGAAAAATAAGCCTTTGTGTGCAGACATGCATATGTTGAAAATGCTGTTCTTTGATTGTGTGTAAATGGTCAGTAGAAATCCATATCATCTCAGATCTGATTCAACATCTGCTAATTGGATTTCAGGGTATGGATCGGGTAAGCCAATATTCATGGTCCTGAGTAAATGTCTCTCTGAACGCATGCATATGACAGAGCTGATTTTTCTTTTAATTGGTAGAATCAATAACTAAATCAGAGTTAGGCCAAGTTGACTTTGCAAAAGTACTCGAGGTTATAATGAAAGGCCTTTATACTCATTTTAGCAGCCTTAGAACTATTGGAAAGAAAACAGAAACATGGAATCCTAAAGGTCTTCCAAGGGCAGAGATTCATCTTTTTGTCTTTTTCTGACAGGAAATGCCTAGATTATTCAGAACCATCCTGTTTTACGTCTAATTCCCAGCTGACAAGTGTCCGTTTTTCATGCTTATTCATTCATCACCCTTGTGTTCCTTCTGCCTGCAAGGCATCAGGCCTGCCTTGCACTGCTTCTCCCCCAGTGATAAAGGAATTGCTGAGCTGTGGCCTCCCTCCCTGTGCGGAATCACCCAGATGCACACTGAAGCGAGCCGTGTGTCGTGGCGCACACAGCCAGGACATATTCTGTGCTCATTTCCCACCCGAGAGCCAGGAGAGTGGTTTTCTGTCAGGCGGCGGCGGCACCTCTGAGCTACATCCCCAGCCCACGATTTTAAAAGTTCTTAAAAATTGTGCCCCAGAGAACACCTACACCGAGTCACAGCATTCCGCATACAACCACTGCTTCTCAGTGGTGCTGTTGACTTCTAGCACCAAGAAGATTCGGGAAGGAGTAGGAGGTCCTCAGAATGGTCACCCCATTCCCTCGCACTACTCCATTTCCCAAACCAGGGCTCCCCGCCTTGGAGTCTACGTTGCGCCTGACCCGTGGACCTCCCATGTCCGAAAATGTCACTTCCTCCAGGCTCCTCAGACCCTCACCCTTCTCCTACTTCTGTTCGCTGTATATCATTTTGGCAGGCAGGCTTTTTTTCTGTGGTGGTACTGTCCTTTCTGCTGCAGTCCTCTCCCACCCCCGCGATGGCATGGTGAGGGCTACTAGGATTTCTCTTTTGAGCTCTAGGCTGGTGATTCTCAGCTGGGCTGGGAATCCTCTTAGGGGACAAGCGGCGTTGAAGGCAGGCGTTTGTTGTCATGTCGGGGAGGGGCTCAGAGCAGAGAAAGTAGTCCTGTCTGAAAGGCTCGTAACATCAATGTTTGGAAACCATGATTTACATCTGTTGGATTTTTCTAATTGAATATCCTACAGTATACTGAATTGAACATATACCCAAATGACGTTATGACCTTGCTCACTCAGCTTGGCAGTGTTTCATTTAAGTTGAAAACAGGCTGACAGTGTGCTGTCTAAGAATGTAGCAGTATCTTGGCTTCCTGGTGCTCCCCAAATAGCTAGGTCTTCATGACCGTGTGATCTACTTATCTGCTTATCCACTGATATAAGTTGAGTTTAGGAACCCATCATCCTCCTGGTTTAAATCTGGTCCCTGACTTCCTTCACACAGGGCAAGATGGCATCTGATCTCTTCCTTTGCTTAGGAGCCTTTGAGGCTTTGCCATTCCTTACCACGCAAAAAGAATTAAATCAATCTACTAGCTTCTCATAGTTTTGCTTCTAGATCTTACGTGTCTTCATCCTAAGTACATAGTAGAATAATCTACCCTAAGAAGACAGTGTATAGTAAGCAGAATTCCTATGAATATTTGGGAACATATGTGCCTCACTTTCCCCTATCCATAGCTTCTTTCTGTGGTATCCTGATTAAGTGTGAGTGAATCAGAATGAATTGATTTGAGAACTAATTCCAGTCGTGCCTTCACCCTAGCTCACATCAGATGAGAGTCCTTCAGAGGCATTTTGTGCAAACTTGGTATACCTGCCAGTAGTATTTTATTCCATAAAAATTTTTCATTGCTGTTCTTTTTATTCATAACTAGTATTTTTTTTCTTTTTATTGAGCTTATTGGTACAATCTAGGTATACAATACAGTTACATTCATTATTGGGATCCTGTACCTTTACATAATAGGTCTTGATTCTCATTTTTTCCCCTTGCCCCTGCCCTCCCTTCACCCCCTCCTCCCCTCCCATTTACAAACACTTTATTTCCATTTTCTCATGTTTTTTTCCTCTCTCTTATTACCTTTCCCCCGCCCTTCCCACTTTCCCTACACCTTTAGCCCTTTACTTCCTATTTCACATTATTAATTATCTCATTAGGATCCTGTGTACTATTATAGTTTTTCACACCAGAGAAACTATTCGGTATTTCAGTTAAAGAAATCTCTGTATGAACATTAAAAATAGGGAATCCTAAAATAAAACTAAAAAGGAAAGTAAAAGAGAAAAGGCAATGATGTAAGATTAAAATAATCTTATAATCCTTAATTCTGAAGATGAAAATGGTCCCTAACTAGTATTTTACAAAATTTTCTCTCAATGCAGATCAACAAAACAGAAGTAGAAACTACTATATTGGAAAAGAACAGTTCAAGTTTGTTAGAAGGGCAGAGTTGGAAAGAGGGACACATGAGAAGACAAGTTGCTTAAAATCAAGGGTCAGCAGGTGCCATTGCAGCTGCAGTTATTTTTCTATGAGGCTTTGATAATCTGGTAAACACGGTTCTCGTGTATAAAACAGGAAGTGGTTTAGATGACTTTCAAGTTATGCTAATGCTGTGGATTCTAAATATTCATTTCTACAAGACTTAATTTCTTAATAGTCAAGTTAAAGGCACCTTTCTGACAGAAATTCTGGCACCATTTCAAGAGTCTCATCTTTTGTCAACCCACAGAGACCCATGATTTTCTTACAACTATAAAGTTTTCATCTAAGAAGTTGGGCAAAATGGCAACTGTCTAGCAATTTTTTTTTCCCTCAGTGCATTTTCTAGGTGGTACTTTACCAGAAGGGACCCAGTTGGGATCTATCTGCAGAATCTTTGGGTTTCCACTTGTGAGTTCAGTGGGCTGAAGTCGTATTTTCAAATTCTTACATCTTTATCAGGGACCTGGAATGAAAGGACAGAGGCATTTATTTTTTATTAAAATCTATTGGATAAAAAATATAATAAAAATAAGTATGGGATATAATAAAATAGAAACAAAAATCTGATCTTAAAAATGTGAACTCTTTTAGTTGTTTTTGGATTTCAAATAAGTATATTTCTTTTCTGTGGGAAATTTTGTTAGAAAATGTAGTGATATAATCAACAAGGCATATGATATTTATCAAATTAATAAAACCAAAGAGTTTATAAATCATAAAATTTTGAGGACAGTTTCTCAACTATAATATGTAACTTTGTTTTATTTGTAAACACATTATTTCAAAAATATTATATGAAAAGAAAATGAGAAAGAACATATAATGTTTGAAGATCATATCAAACTAATAGCATATTTGGATTATCATTCTGTGTTGCATAAATTTTTGTTTATTTCATATCCTTTTTTATTGTCATATATATGTATACTTGAAATTTTTATTTAGTATCTTCATTTCTTCTTGTCATGTATATTTGCAATCTTTAATAAAAAAAAAATTCTGATAACTTTCTTGGTAAGAACAGAACTGTGTGTACACAAAATACAATTTTGAGGGGCTTCTTTAATGCTGCTTTGCAACTATGAATACATTTTTAACTTCTGAATTCAGGTAAAACTGATTTAGAATTTAAAGCTAAACAAGACAAAATAATTACATAGCATTCAATAATGCCTGTCCTAAAGAATGTGCCTCTGATGTATTTTAAATGATAAGCTGGTTTCTAACATTTGTGTGTCTATCCGTAGTAGTTTTTAAACCTCTGACACATACTGCTGTAACATCTATGTATGGGCGCATGATGAGGTCCTTAGTATATCTGAGTGGAAATGACTACTTAATATTCTAACTGAAGAATGGCCTCATAATTAGGCATTGAGTTATTTCTGAATGCTTTTCAAGAGTTACTCTTCGCTGCCTGGAGGCATTTCAAGAAGTTATATTTATTCTTTGAAGACTCCAGTTTTTGCTTTTTCACCCTGCAACAGAAGCTTGCTTTTGATTTATTGATCAAAAGATTTTGGATTTCCTACAACTCTAATAATGTCTGTTGTGAGAAAAGAGAAAAATATTCATATATATAAGCAACTCTGTGTATACACATTGAGAAAATGGGGTCCTTTTGTCTTAAATGTGATCAGAATAGTTGATTATCGAGAAATATTAAAGTATAACCAGCGAGTTTCACTGACGGTTAAATAAGGATCTCCAGAGAATGCAGCCACCCAGGCTCTGAGGCAGAACTAACTGCATGTGGCTTTAAAAATACAAAGACATAAAATACTAAACTGGGAAAAAAATTGTAGTTTCTCTGTATAGGTAAATGCTACTTAATCTTGATGTGTATTTCATCACCTGTGCCTTTCAGATCTACGGAAGACTTTTGAGCAGGAACCCTTGGGAAAGGAAGTGTCCCTGGAACAGGAAGTTTTACTCCAGTGTCGACCACCTGAAGGGATCCCAGTGGCTGAGGTGACAAAAATTCTTTGTATTTAGCAGTTGGCACTGAGTTATTCTAACAGAGGCCTGCTCCATGGCTAATGGTGCAGTGAATTAGGGCATGGCATGATGGATGCTTGGTAATGGAATCCTAACTGCCTGCTGCTGGCAAAATAGATTGATTGGGAGCTGATTAATGACTTGGGAGTCAATTAGAGTGTCCCACCCAACAAAGCCACAGGCAGCTTGGTTGAGTTTGTCATTTTCTTTCAAGAAATCAGAAATCTTGATTTTCTTTGACACTTATTGAGAAAAATAGTATGGCTTATACTGCTGGCAATCTTATTATTGTTCTTGATAATATCCCCCCAAAATTTGTTCATGTAAGTTGTGTGTGTGTGTGTGTGTGTGTGTGTACAGTGTTTTTGTCCATGAGCCTCTGAGCCCCATCTGTGTATTTCCCGGATTGTGATATATGGACTTAAAAGCCATTTATACATGCTTTATTTGGTGTGTGTGTGTGTGTGTGTGTGTGTGTGTGTGTACAGTGTTTTTGTCCATGAGCCTCTGAGCCCCATCTGTGTATTTCCCGGATTGTGATATATGGACTTAAAAGCCATTTATACATGCTTTAGTCGTAATGAATATCAGGTAGATTCATCCTGTAAGTTTGCCATCAAACTCTTCATTTTTTCTGCTAAAACAAGGCCAAATGATTGCTAATGAAGTATTCCAAATTGAGTTCATTCGTGACTTTTCATAAGCAGCAGATAAAACAGTGAGCTTTGCACATGCTCAAGTCTGCCTACCTAACTTACAGGAGACCTCTAGCTCTCCTTAAGACACTCACCACCGGGAGCATCCTGTCAAGAGAAACTAACACTGCGGGTTTCATTTCTTAACAAACAATCCTAAACTCTAAAGCAGTTTACCCTTTACATGAATAAGAGGAGACGTCCTTCTGTGCATCCAATGTGATTGCCCTAGCTGGTCCTGAACCCTGCAGAACCAGGCACACTTTAATTTGATTAGCAACGTAGCTGCGAATTGTTGACAATCCTCGTTAGCCTGCAAACTCCATGAGTCCTCTGGAATTTGTCACCTGTATTGAATATGTAGAAAGAAACATATGCCAGTTGTTGCAGTTTGGATCTATGCTTGGGGCCGGTGGATATGGGTCAGTAGGTTTTTTAAAACTTTTTTTAAACATGAATTTGAAAAATAAAAATGAAACTTACAATGTGAAAAAGTGATTAAAATTAATAATGCACCCACTATTTGATTTCTCATAGTTTTTCAGTCTTAAAGAGACTGAAGCAAAGGCAGAAATCTTCACAGGTATTCAGTCCCACAACCACAAAATCAAACATCTGATGGTTCCTTCCAAATTAATTGTTAATTTTGGCAAGGTGCTTTTAAAATGACTTCCATTTTCTGTTACAGCCATGCATATCTCTATGAGGCCATTACAAAAGTCAAAGGATTAAATTTTTTTTCTTTTTCTCAAAGAGAGCTATTTTGGCTTTGTAACTGGCCTCACAGCAGCATCTCTAGCGCTTGGTTGAGAGTGCGTGACTGTGGTTACTCTGTCCAACACTATATCTTCATCTTCCAGCACTGAGACATGGTATGTATGGTTTGGTGTGACTAAAAATGCACAACTTTGTCTTTCCTCAGTGTTTCATACTGGTGATTACAACAGTGTATCTGTCTCCTTATTGGTAGTTCTAAAATCTAGTGCTCACCTCTTCTGTTAAACTGTCCTGAAAACCAAAGCATATAATGAGTGGTATGCATCTCCACAGCCTCATTTTTGCTCAAGGTTCCTTAAATGTAACCAGCCCCTGTGCAGGCACTGAGTGAGACTCTGGTGTTCCTCACTTTTTTCCATCTCCTCAACAAAATAGTTCACTTTGTCAAAGAGTAAAGATTCCTGACTCAAAACTAATTGGCTGTGAATTTCATTTGTATCACCAGGAAAGAAACCAATTAACACTTGGCAAGATCAAAAATCATATACCCATTTGACATTCAAATAACTATGTTTAATCCATATCACTTTTTTTTAAGTCAAAAAAGAGATCAAACGTCCACACTGAAGATAGGGCTAATAAAATGCTGTGTCGGTTCATTTCCACACTGTTAAAGTCATCAAGATCAGAAAGCTAATGGACACCTTAATATGACTTGTAACAACTGCCATTAGCTCCAGAGGAGCAGATAAAATAAAATAGAAAGGGGCCAGGGATTTAGCTCAGTGGTTCCGCCACCTGCCTTGCAAGTGCAAGTTCCCAAGATCGATCCCCAATACCAAAAATAAATAAATAAAATAGAAAGGGGTGAGCAGTGACTTGGGGAGTAAAGGGTTATATGATCATTTGAGTTTAGGTACATGAGTCATTTAATTTTCATTTGTTTCTTTAAGGAATTTTAAATTATAAAATAGCATAAAATAAAACATTGATCTTAAAAAGAGACCAGCAGGTAAAACTTCTGTGTTTTACGATAATTGCATCGTCTTTTATTAAGGCAGGCCAGGCTGAATGTGTGTGTCTTTGGTGTCCAAGGAAAATTATTCCAAGGTAGTTGGATAGTAAGTGTTCAATAAACATGTGAGTGATCAATCACGTCATTTGTTCTGTGACTTATAAGCGTGTGTCTAATTCCATTGAAGAAGTAATAACATAGAGTACTGGATATTCGTTGCAGGGTACCAGAAAATAGTAACTTTGTTACTTCCTGTTCAAACCTGTAAGGTTTTTAAGAGCTCAAATCTCAGAATACTAACACATCAGTGCAAATAAACATATAGACATTATTATGGTAATAACATTTCATTTCTCTATATTTTGGCATTCTGTCTTCTCCTCAGTGGAATGTTAACATGATTTTCTTTAGAAAATCCAGGTTTAAATTTAGGCAGGACCATTTTTAACTCTTTGGCTTGGGCAAAGAATCTAAATTCCTAAGAGTTTTCTCCATTATTAAAGGGAGATAATGGTATCTATGCACAATGTGGTTATGAGGTTTAAATGAGGTGATCTATGCAAATCATGGAAAATGTGTCTAAAGTAATGAAGGAACACTGGCCATGATTAGTACTGTTATCACTTAGTGATTCACAGAACACTGAATTTGACCTCTTCAATTAAAAAATACTCCCACATTGGCCTCTCTCAGCCCTGTCAGGTATTTGGAGGAGAAACTTCTGCTCTACAGAGCGTCACAAGAGGTTCTTCTGGATCCTTCATCCATTTACTTTGCTGGGAGTCCCCAAATGCTACAAGGGAAGATAACATTGTGAGCTTTCATACAAGGAAGTGCCTTTACAATACCAGCAAATGTCCTTGTAGGTCCATGGTGCCAACTTTGTGTTAAAAGGGCATTGTGGTGGGTGTATAATACCCATGTTTATTCTTCAGAATATTTCTATTGATGAATTATTAATTTTAATTTTGAGTTTTATTATATTAAACAATAATTACTGAAATAGAAATATATAAAAAATAAGGTGTTGAATTTTTGAGTCTATAAAAAAGTATCAAAATTTTCAACACTAAATTTTTTTGTTTACAAAGTCTTAAAAAGTAACCACATAAAAATGCCTTTATGAATTACAATGAAAATACCAATTCCACAATAAAAATAATCTTTGCTGCAATCATCGCAGCCTATACAGTCTTTGCATATCATAATTGCATGTTCCATGCACACATCTCACACTGATAGCACATATACTTAACTTTCTTTTCCTGTTTGGCAGGCTGTTCTTGTCACCTCTCTTATCTTCCTCTTTTCTCAGGAGCTTCTTTTTTTTTTTCTTTCCTTTTTTCTTTATTGGTACATTTTAGGTTCACAATTCGACATTGGGATCTTGTAACTTTACATAGTATATCTTCATTCTTATTTTTCCCCATTTCCCTGACCTTCCTTCGCCTCCTCCACCCTTTCCTATTTACAGAGACATTGTTTCCATTTTTTCTCCTTTTCTCTTTTTTCTTTTCCCTTCTTAGCTTTCCCCTATATCTCCCACTTCATCTACTTTTAGACATTTTTTTCTTATTACACAATATAAATTATGCATTTTCATTCTTATTTACACTTTTAGTTTATCACACCAGAGAAACTTCAGTATTTACATGTGTGTCCTATTAATTTCACTTAAGAGTGTGGCCGCATTGTGCATCCACTTAGCTATAAATGTCTCTAGTTTTTCATTCTTTTTGGCTGAGTATTAGTCCATTTTGTAGAAAAAAACCACATCTTCTTTATCCAGTCTTCAGTTGATGGACAATTGGGCTGTTTCCAAGTTTTACCTATTACAAACTGTGCTGCTATAAATGTGAGTGAGCATATATCACTGTGGTATGATTCTTTTAATTCTGTTTGAAAGAAGAACAGCAGAAGGATAGCTGAGTCAAATGCGACCTCTAATCCTAGTTGTTTGAGGTATCTCCATATTGATTTCAACAGTGGTTGCACCAGTCTGCACTCCCACCAACAATGAAGAAGGATTCCTTTCTCCCCACAACCCCGCCAACATTTGTTATTGTGTGATTTCTTGATAGCAGCCATTCTTTGTGGGGTGAGGTGGAATCTCAGGGTTGTTTTCATCTGCATCTCTCGAATGACCAGAGATGTGGAACATTTTTTAATATATTTACTTTCTGCTTTTACTTCTTTGCTGAGAAATGTCTGTTCATTTCAGATGCCCATTTTTAAATAAGTTCTTTATATTTGGGGGGGGCTGATTATTTTGAGATCATATATTCTAGATAATAGTCCTTTGCCTGAGGAGCAACTGGTAAAAATTTTTTCCCACATTATAGGTTGTCTGTTAATTCTGTTGATGGTTTCTTTTGAAGTGTAGAAGTTTTTTAAAAAGATGAGATCCCGGTTGTTGATTATTTGTGCTAGTTCCCATGCTACTGAGGATTTATTGATACAGTCTTTTCTTATGCCAGTGTCTTCAAGAGTTCTACCTAACTTATCTTCCAGAAAGTTTAGTGTTTCCATTTTAATATTTAGATCTT